TGGACCAAGAGGAGCACGTCAGAGACGGCGGGCCTGGAGGTCCAGTTCCCTCGCTACTTTGGGCAATAACAACCTCTGAAAAGCTGTTTCTTCCTTTACAAAATGGGGTGGCAATCGCGGCTGCTCTCCTAAGGTGTCTGTGAAGATGAGGTGAAACAATGGGTGTACAAATGTGAACACAATCCCTTGCACAGCTAGGCAATCAGATGTACATTTACCGGGTGCGTTGCACCCAATGATGTTTAAAAATGACAGCTGAAAATGATTGAATACCTACTATGTGCCAGCACGGAGCTTAGTGCTTCCTCTTAAATTTATGATATTAAATCTTTCTATTAAAGAATATTAATCATCCTTGTTTCCTAGATAAAGGAGCTGAGGCCCAGAGATGTTAAGAACCCCTCTATACTTACCTATATTTGTTGCAAGAATTAAACAAGGTGATTGTAAAGCATGTCCTTAGGGTGACCCTGAGCACTCTATAGGGCTGTTGTTGAAAATGACCCTTTGCTCATCTGCCGTAACAGACCCCGCACAGCTGTTGCCCATCCAACACCTGTTCTCCCCTCCATCCTTACAAAACCAGTTTTGTGTGATGTGGCAACGTGCTCCATTTTCCTCAGTCTCCCTCATTTCTTTGGAAGTTCGTATGACCTAGTTCTGGCCAATGAGAGAAAACTAAGCCTCCTAAGTGGGTCTTTTGGGAAAACTACTACAGTCCCAAAGGATGGGCTTCATCTGGCACATCCTTTTTGTCCGTCCACTTCTTGGCTGCACGGAAAACACAAGCACGCCACCTGGTATGAGACCAAGGGCCCACGTCCGGGATGGCAAAGTGGAAAGAAGAGCCCAGACTCCCGGCGGCCCGGGAGGGCTCCTGTCCCGGCCCTGGAGAGCCAGCTTCCAAAGGGCTCAGCCCCCGCAGTTAAGCCCCCATGGCCCGTTTTCTAGTCTGCACAGCTGAAGGCAATCAAAACTGACACAGACACCGTTTGGATGCTCCGTCTTCTTTCCTTCAAACTGTCTACATGTTTCGACTGAGACAACAAAGAAAAAGAACTCCAGAGAATGAAAAGTCGGCTCCCAATTGTCTCTACATGAATCATTCTCAGCCCTTCTGAGACATAACACCAAAGCTTTTCCTCAGCATTCAAGTGTTGGATTCCCAGTCGCACTCTCCCTTCTCCCCTGTCACATAGTGTCCTATATGGTGTCACCAACAAGGTGTCCGTGGGTCATCAGCATCGTGCACTTGGGATCTGAGGGCACTTGTTCCCAAGGCTTGGCTCTAGGCCAGCCTCACCCAGCACGGAACTGAGTGATCCTTCTGTAAAACCGGAGGCATCTGCTCCGGCATCTTGGTCAATGTCCAAAGGCCGTAATTGCACTCTGCCCACTTGTGAGCTCTCTGAGTTCTAATTAGGTGGCATTTATTTCCTATCCAAAAAAGATTACGCCCAACATTACTCTGCACATTAAAACAGCAAGGGGTCTAACTCAAGTGATAAAGGAGCATCTCATTGTGACACAAAGAGATCATGAGGTGGGGACAAGAGGCTTCATCGGGCTTTAGACTGAGCCAGCTGGGATGTCAGCTTTCAACTCGGAAGGAGCGAAGTGCACCCGCGGGGTCAAACTTGTGGTTTTCTGGGCTGCTACGGGGAAATAGTACACCCATAGTTCCGCTTACTTTAAATGATTTCTAGGGCAACATCAGATGAAAAGAGGATTGAACTCTAGTCCCTTCTCACTGCTTGTGTCAAAATATAACCCACAAGGAAGACAAAAATTAAATTCCTTCTAACATGAAGTATGCTGGGATTTTTCAGGGGGGCTTTTTCCTAAAGCTCATGTACTTTATTTGTAGGAAAATCATTCAGGCCCTCACTTTGAACCAATTTACTTTTTTTCTATTAAATTTATTAGGGTAACATTGGTCAATAGGGCCATATAGGTTGCAAGTGTGCATTACTATGATACATGATCTATACATTGCATTATGTGCCTGCCACACACAGACGAATCACTTTCTGTCGTCACATATTTGGCCCCCTTTACCCTCTACCACCCCCTACCCCGGATGGTACATGACTTTTTATATTCTAAACTATGAATAACCTGTATTTTGCCTTGCTTTAAAGAAATACCCTAAAGGGTAATTAAAAAAATTATTTAATGTGTAAAATTGCTTCACTAAAAGCATGCAACTCAAGCCCTGGCTGGTGTGGCTCCGTGGATTGAGTGCCGGCCTGTGAACCAAAGGGTCGCTGGTTTGATTCCCAGTCAGGGCACAGGCCTGGGTGGAGGGCCAGATCCCCAGTGAGGGGCTCGCAAGAGGCAGCTACACATTGACGTTTCTCTCCCTCTCTTTCTCCATCCCTTCCCCTACTTTAAAATAAAATAAAATAAATCTAAAAAGAAAAAGTATGCAACTCAACAGTGAAGTTAAGTACACTCAGAAAATATTTGAAATCATCCTCCTTTTGACTAAACTAGAAAAGGCACACGTTTTCAATGGCTAAAATTATGTTGTATTTAACTAAAGACCCACACACACAATGAAGAGAAAATCTCTAATAATTTATTTGACCTTCAGTTTCACATTGTGAAAAAAAAATAACAGTTTTACAAAACCTCAAAAATGTAGTAGGAAACAAGTACATAAGAACATGAACACTTTACTTCTTCAACTTACACAGAGTTTTGTATGTGAACCACATATTCAATAGCCAAGAGAAGGATATTCTTCAGCTCTAATCACCCTTATTCAGACAGGTGTCAAGCCCAGAGAAAAGGGGGCTACACAATTATAGCAGAAGTGGAAGGCTGCCTTTTGTTATTTGTTTCCACAGCAACCCGTCCACAGAAAAAGAAGAACCTTCTCTGTCTTATGCCAACGTTTTTGTGTGCACTGTGCTGTGAATTGTATTTGCTTCAAAGTGTGGGACGTTTCACAGGGTGAGAATGGTCAAGTAGTGAGCCCAAATGCCTACATCAATTCAAAGGGCGGGAGTCCAGAAAGTTCCCTGCAGGCTGGGGGCCCACCCTGACCATGGCTCCCTCGGCTCACACACAGTAAATAATAGAGGATTCAAGGACAGACCACAACTCTGAAACAGCTGGAGAAAATTCATCCTGCTTTCAGAAGCCATGCAGTGACACGCACATCTCAGCCTATTTGCATCATAAACTACAGAGCTGTAACTGCTACAATATAACGACACCCGACTATGCCGCCATTGTACAATTAGACATTTGCATTGCTTAGAACACGTCTAGGAGTGAAAGACTGACTGCTGGAAAGTACTGTGATTCTTTTATTCCAGCGGCTCATTTATTTTGGTCCAACTCTAGCCCACTTATTCATGGCATGGACGGACATGCACAATTAGCCTAAAGTTCTCAGGTGGAAAAAAATGTTAAGGATTTATCTGCCACCAGACCATGCAAGCACACATGTAAAAGGTTGGTATCAGTCTTAAACCTTATTTTCTAAAGCACAGTAATGTGAGCAATAGCAATGAAAGCAGTGCGAGAGTCACTAACTCTGGTCTTCCCCAGGCACCGCTGAGGAAGCACTGACTTGAGTCTACTAGTATTAACACCTATCACAGCACGGGTTTAGTAAACAAGCCCACAGACGAGCAAAGAATGTATTCACAACCAATTCCCAACTATCCCGGAAAACCTCAACAGCGGCCACAGCTAACAGTTCTTTGGTGTATTATGGCCAAATGTGTCACTTTTGTGCACCAAAGAGTTCCTATGGAGACTTACCTACAGGTGAACACTAAGGTATACATTGTACCGATGTTAATATTGTCACGGAGAACTTGTCACACTTGCTAAATTATACAGCAAGAAGAACAATGAGTCCAGGTCAAGCACATCGGGTGAGTGAATTAATTTATGTCTGTGATCATTCATTTTTCCCCCCTGTTAACTATGGTTATGACAAAGCATTCTCACAGGGTAATAAATAAATAAATAAACTTTGGGCTACGTCTTTACCTGTGCCCTATATACAGAACTATTCCATAGAATCTTCCAGGATTTCAGGACATTACACAAAGAAAAAAAACTGCAAAGCGATTTGGTCCCTTCCAATTTTCAGTAGCCGAGACCGAAGGAGGTAAATCAGGTAGAAAGGGGCAGAAATAAGTCCTCCCACCTGTGAGCCATCAGCATGACTGGAGCCCCTGAAACCCCATTAAGTTGGTAAGTCTAAGAACCATACCTCCATGCTTTCTTTCCCTCCAGGATGTAATTTGAGTTTCTGTTTTGTAATCCTTCCCTGTCTTGACATTTACAAAATCCCTCCCCCTTCCCAACCCACCCTCCAGTTATATTCCAAACTGTAATTCCCCAGTTTTCATTTTGTGCAGCAAAGCACATCACAACAGCCACAAAATTGTGCAAAACATACAACCACTCACGCACGTCCATACACGTGAAGACAACTGTAAGCATTGTTTCAGCATGCAGGCATCAAATAATAAATAGCTAACTCTGTAACAAATTTCTTAACAGCCAAGGAAAAGTTTGAAGTCACTTATAAATAGAAAAGATCATCTACAGAACAGCTACCAACAACGTCCCCATTGTTCGGAAACCTTCCTGGGGGCGCAACCCCTCCGAGATCAGCAGAGTCCACTGGTCCTCGCTCGGCAGCCAGCACCGCCAGCTTCCCTCCTGGCCCCACAGTTGGGCTTTCAATCTCCAACAGCAGCTGGTGTGGAGGCTTCAAGCTCGCTCCTCAGAGAGAGGTGACAACCATTTCAAATTTTACACATAAATGGTGGAGCCCATGGAAATCAGACGCTGAATATGGTACAGCAAGGGAAAAGGCCCGGCTTTTCTCTCCCTTTGAGGGGCTGATTAACGCTGACATTAATCCACAATTACAAGACAAGGACTAGATCACAGGTTCATTCATTCATATTTAAACCATGTGCTACTTGCACTGAAAATCCCACCCCTCCCCCACCCCCTTCCTTCATGTCCAGTTAGAGCATTTACAAGGTGCCGCCGATTGTACAGTCCAAGTCTTGTAGCAACTTCTTTTCTTTTTTTCTTTCTCTTCATTAAACTTGGCCTCTCCAAAGCAGAAATCACTTCTTGAGCTAAAACAGAAGGAAAATATTTTTGTTAGTGGTCTCAAAAATCTTTAAAAAAATAAATAAAGTCAGGACCGAGCTGGTCAATATTGCTTCTACAGGTCTTAATTACATGTCCAGCAGGAACTGCGCAGACATGTGAAGTGCTCGTCTCAAATGCACACACAAGCGTGCGTGCAGATGGCTGGCCGACAGAAGCAATGGTATTCAAAGGAGGGTCTTCACTACTTTCTTAAACATATACGTTCAAATTCAAACCTATATGTCTAGGTGCTGTTATCAGTTCCATTTCGGCCTCCGACAGGCGAAATTCCTCTCGGGGTTAAACAGAGCCACTTGAAGCAATCACCAGAGAGTCAAGAAAGATTCCTGTGCAAATCTTCCTGGGCCCAGTGGCCATAACGGATTCCAAATTCAATTTATTCACCATATAGACGGCAGACGTATTAATCCTCTTATTTAAATCCATCTCTGCTATTCATTATGGAGAAAGCAGTCTCGCCTCTTTTCATATGACAAGATACCAGGCCTCAACAGCCCAAGGCTGGAGTTTATTCCCAAAGTTCATCAGTCCACACTTGGGAGACACCAGCTATGGTATGCAGTGTTATTACCTACAGAATCTACCAACGTCAGGTGTCAATATAAATTCAAGGCGCCATAGCCACAAAGTCTGCCCTTTTCACGGGAGCTGGCATTTCCTCACACTACCCACCCTTGCCATTCATTTAGGTCCCATCTGATACAGGGAAATTTTGCATACGGCTTGTCTTCCAAATGCTCGCCATCATGGAGCGCATTTCCAGCCCTGGTAGGAATCTGTACCCCCAGTGCTACACCTGTACAGACTAAGGGAATTCAGCAGGGGCCACTCAGTATTTGCCATGAATTTTTCTCACTTTTGTGTGTTTAGAAGTCTGATTCATTTCATTAGCTGTTTCTTTTGGCTGTTTCCTCACAGTGGGTCAAGGCTGCACCACATTCCTCAGACTACGGTGTCATCCTCTTCCCCCCACCTCCTTGTAACCTATACATCGACGTTAGGCCAAAAGAATCTATCTTGTAATAATAAAAAATTTCAAGATGTTGCATACTTGGAGGTGGGGTGCGGGGAGGGCCAACCAAAAGAAAATAAAAACTCTAAAAAGGTAATAAATGAAGCAAATCAAAATCTAAATCCTGTCAGGTTATGGCCACACAGCACCATGAAAATGCAGACTAATCAAAAGTAGTTTCCTTTTTGTCCCTCCCACCTGTTGACAGAGCAGCAGGAGTCAGTTAAAATCTCCTTGATGGATGAGCTTTCAGACCAGAGCAAATTTTTTGTTAACACTGTACTCATTCCTTTAGCCCCTCCATTTGAAGAGGGGAGAGATGTCCCAAAAGTACTTCCAGTTTAGGACTGATAGCTACACAGCACCTTTTTTACATCACTCCCTCCAGCGTAAGTGTTTTAACACTATCTGTGTGCAGCAAACGTGAGCAATTTAAACCGACATCCTCCCTGTGGGAAACGGCAACAGTGGCTTTGATCGGGCCCATGCTGCCCCTTAGAAAGGAGACCCAGGCCCTGTCAAATTTCACTGTTATATGCTCAACTCTGGCAGGGAGCACCAAGGGTGGGGTGGATGTTGTTTCACCTAGACTTAAAACTAATGCATTTGCTCCATTTCCATGGGACCAGAAGTGTGTGATGAGGTTCAAACATTCAGGATAGGATGAACTCAATTGTTTGCCAACATACTCCGGGCTGAGAAATGAGGCACCAAAAATGAAGCAGAAACATAGCAAGAAGATAACAGTCAAAGAAACCTCATTTTCCCACCACATACAAAGCTAATTCCATTGCAAGCTAAGGTTGAAATTGAAGAGAGGAAACCTAATACTACTAAACACTGAATACATGCCAGGGTATTTTCACCACGTGCTTTTATCCTCCCTCATTTATCAATTTACCCAAGTCTGAACTGGGACAGACCTTAGGGAAAGCATCATCTAGCAAAGGAACAAAGTCTAGAAAGGTCCGGACTCCGGCTTAGAATCAGAACTGGAATGAATGCACGTGTGATCTATCTTTCTGCCTCAACTTCCTTACCTTGCTCCAAGGATGCCAACCACTCTACCAGTTACCATTTTGAAGTACCGCCACCACGAGCAACTTTTAGATGGCTTTCCTATGCAAATAGAGTCAGTTCTGGACGAACACCCAACTTAGGGTGCTGTTAATTGATGCTTTACCCTAGGAGGTTCTTTAAACCAGCTTTAGAGATGAGTCATGCATTCATATCACAAATGAAATAACCACTTTCAGAGCATTTGTTTATTCAGGATTACTGAGTTGCCAGCAAGGCTGCAAAAACCAGTTTGGTGTGGGACGCTGTGAGCCAAGTTGCTCCCCAGAGGAGGCTTCTGACTGTTCCTGCGCCTTTGAAGGAGTTTCATTCCGAGGAAACATTCTATTACTAAGGACTCTACTAACTGGAATAGGCTGGAGGAGATAGCTGCAGAAATGAAATGAACAGAAAGATTAAGTGTGGAAGTGAGGCCAGTTTTCACGGTTGTTTTTTCAAACGAGCTCTGAGAAATGAGGAAAGAAAAGACAAATAAGTCAAAATCCCACTTTGCTTAGCTTGCAATGACCCCTAATTTCTTTTTTTTCCTTTTGAAAGTTCCCTTCGAAGGTGTGAAACATACTATGGAAAACGGAGCCAAAAATTTCCAAATAAGGAGATCGTTTTCACTGTAGTTCCTCCAAAGCACAGTTTTAATTTTATTCTGTCATTAGTAATGTTATAAGTCCACGAATCACCACAACAAAGCAGCACACTCCGCGTGCTCCGTGCTGCATTTGGATATGCTGAAGTGATTCGGGGGCCAATCCTGAGAATGCTTAACAGCAGCAAAGCGGCCATTAGCTTTGCGAACACTGAACTGCATGAACTTGGCTTATTAATTATTTGAGCCAAGAGTATTATATACTCTTAAGTACACAAGACAACCATTATGTACTCTGATAATATGACACAGAAACACAACTTTTGTTCGCCCTGACAATAGGGTCAGCCTGTCTGATTAACTCTGAAAAGCTGCTGTAAGCACATGGCTCGGTGTATCCACACATCAGACAAAGTTATACAACACAGGTGCAACCTTTTACAAGGACAGAGCTAAATTTTCCTCTAAAGCTAGTAAGCTTGCAAAAAAAATAAGCTGATGAATAATTTTGGAGAAAATAACCTAGAAATAAATTAGAACAATTTCTTCATTCCATACTTCATCCCAGAAAGGATATGTGGAAACTAAATTTGAATATCAACAAATATCTCCTGCAGTAACACCAACATGAACTTCAAGTTTATTAAGTGGCAGTTCAGCATGATGTTCAAGTGTACACGCTGGAGCCAGACTGCCTGGGTGGCTTTCTTGACCAATTCTCCAGCCTACTAGCTCTATGACCTTGGGCAATTTAACCTGTGTTTTTATCCATAAAGTGCTTGCTCTAGTAATAATAACTCACAAGGCTGTTGTTACATGAAACGATCCATGTAAACACACAGCCCAGCTCCAGACACACAGTGAAGGCTCCCTAAATACTAGTTGGCATTACTAACATAGGTCAGGGGTTCTCAACCTGGTGTGCATTAGAACGCTGGAAAATTTTCTAAAACGGCCAATTCCTGGGCCCCACCCAGACCAAATGAAACCAAGTCTCTGGGCTGGGCAGTTTTTGCAAAGCTCTTTGGGAGATTTTGTGGCTCAGTTAAAGGCTTAGAACCACTGGCTTATGTACGTTGTAGTGGGGGGCAGGGGGCAGTTGTGGTCAATACACAAGTTCTGGGGTACAAGTTCTTTTATTTTTGCAGTTTTTGTAGCACTTCTACAGGATAAGCTCTATGGACCGTGCCTCACTCCGCATACAAATTCACACAGCTGGCTTAATTATATGCATACTTACAGCTAAACTGACTTCTTACCTCATCCTCACCTTCTTTAAGATGTGCTGCATTTAAGAAGGCAGGTGTTTCCAGGTGCTGACAAACGCAGTTGGTATCAGCGAGTATGGGACTGTAGTTATGCTGTTCCACGCATCTAATGTTGGATCGTAGCAGTCCAAAGTTTTGCATCGCTGAATGCCAAAGTATCCTCCCACCACGTAGAGTTTGTTTCCGGAGGCCACAGCATGACAGCTCATGCGCTTTGCGGTCACGTCTCCCACCTTGGTCCACTGGTAAGTCTCACTGTTGAATTTATAAGCAGAGCAAGCAGAGAACTCTGTATCTCCCCCCATAATAAAAATCTGGTTACCCAGCACAGCTGCTGCTGTGTAACGCCAGGGCTGGGGACAGGTGGCCGGTACCGTCCACCTGTTCTCACATTGATCGTAACACTGAACCTTGGGGAGCTTGTCATGACTGACACTGGTACCTCCGAAAGCAAACAGCTTGAGCTTGGCACTCACCACTGCAGCGTTGCTCACGCCTTCTCGCAGTGGCGCCACCATGGTCCATTTGTTGGTTACGGGGTCATAATGTTCTACTTGCTTCAGCGAGACTGAGGGGGAGGCAGGGAGGCAGCCAGTTGCGGCTGTGTGCCCCCCGACCACATACAGGCAGTGCTTCAGTTCAGCAGAGCCATGGCCAAACCTGGCCACCAGCATGGGGGCGGCTTTGGACCACTCCTCATGCAGTGTATCATAAACCCAGACATCTTTCGAGACTCCATTTTCCGACCCCCGGCCCCCCGTAATGTACACTTTGCAGCCAATGGCACACGCACTGAACTCTTTCCTCGGGCTGGGGATGTCGGCCTTGGGAATGATTTCTTTGGCCTTCTGGTCTACCAGATACAGTTTGTCACACATGAAAGTCTGCCCTCCCAAGAGGAAGAGGGCATGGCCGGTTTTCCGAGGCCGGGCGCAGAGGCTGGTTACCACACCATCATTCTGCAGGATTTTCAGCTTGCATCTGATGGCCTCTTCCACAATTTCCTTGCTCTTTCTCTGCTTGGTGATGAGTTCCTCCATGGCCACATTCTCCATGAGATAGATGGCTGGCAGGAGAGCCAGCCTCACCGTCTGCAATAGCTCCGGGAGGTAGCAATAGCGCTTCTTCAGGTCGTAGCTGATCCAGTTAATTGCAGACTCGTACACGAGCCTTTCATCTTCTGTCTCCAGCTCTTCACTGGACAAGAGCTGCACTACCATGTCCTGGGGCAGCTGGAGAAAATCTTCATTCTTCCTGATGGTTTGGAAATTGCTGAGACACATTCTCCAGGAGAGTTCATACAGCTTGGTGCACTGGTGCGCATCAGACAGCAGCAGCATGCCCAGGCAGTTGGTGGGATGCAGGTTCTTTTCTAGGAATTCTGCACAGGCATCCCGGATGTCTTGAAACTCCAGCATGTCGCCAGCTTCCAGGAGCGATTCTGCATTTTCTTCATTGATGATGACCCGAGAGGAGTATGCATAGTCAAGAAGCAACTCCAAGACTTCGGGGTGGATGGAGTTGTCGAAGTTAACTTCACTATCCTGGCTCTCTTTCAGGCCACCACTGAACATGGCTTCGAAGTAGCGGCTGCATGCAGCCAGCACTGCCCGGTGACAAGGGAAGGTCCTGTTTCCGGCATGGAGAAGGACATCGGTGAAGAGGCGCTGCTGGCGTAGAAGGTTCAGGTGAGTAAGAACGCTGTCAGCATAGGAAGACTTGTGAAACAGGTAGATGTTAATAGAGCCGCTGCTGGCCCTGGACTTGCGGTTCTCGTGCACACTGACTGACATTTTGTTTCCACTCCTAAAACAAAAACAAAAAACAAAAAACAAAAAACAAAAACAAAACCATTGAGCAGGGTGCTCCTGATGTGTAAGACAGCAGAACAAAGCAGCAATCCTTTAGGACAGTGAGGACAGAACATTTTTCTGTTAGCTCTGCTGCCTACTATTCTGAATAATGAATGGCCATTCCTGTACAAAGTCAGAGACAACTACCTATAAGGAGAAGCATTTGTGGTCATACTGTTTGAACTATTTGAACTATACACTGCTTAGAAAAAAAAAAAAAATCCCTGCTTGAAAGCAGGTTCATCTTGGAAAACCTGATTGCCAACTTTCAGGATATTGAAGTCCTTGAGAATGTACGTCAGCACAAGCCAGGAGGAGCGAGGTACCATTCTCACAGCTCCCTGTCCTTGTCCAGCTGATTCACTGCAGGCCACTGAAAACGCCAGGCCTCCAGCTCTCGTAACGCCAGGATAGGCACCAGCTTTAATGCCCTATGCAATATAAAGCCATGTGTAAAACAAATACCTACTAATTAATTCCATTAAGAATGCCTTTGGTAAGATCTGGTCTCCCCACAATATACAATAAATGAGAAATGTAACATTAAAATCACAGGCTTAGGCAACTTCTCTAATGATAGGAGCCTTATTTGAACGGTACAGATCATTTCTAACCAGACAGCTCTACCACTCCAGAGACTTAAAAGAGGCCCAATAGAAACATTACTATATTGATCAGCAGGCTTAGGTGAAAACATAGAATGGATTCTGACCACAATCACCACCCTTCTCTCCTGCTGGACAGATTCCAAAATGAGGATCCGGGCACATAAAAGGGAGACTATTTGGAGTAGCATACTTATGAATGCTGCTTTTCTGTTCTTCCTGCTTTTATCAATTCTTGGAAAACCAGTTGCAAGAACAAAGAATCTATCCACCCCTCTCTTTTGACTAGATAGTACACCACCAGGACTGTTCTTGTGTACCTGCTAATGTTGGTCTGCGTACAGAGAGTTCAAGATGCAAATATTATCTAAACCAAAAAATACACACACACATGGGTATGTATACGTGTGTGTTGTGTGTGTATTTTGCCAACCATCATTAATTTAGAGCCATCCTAGAATTCATTTGCTGACTGAAGTGTTTTTCTCCTCAGTATCTAAATTGAAATCATAGCAGAATCTAATGCTATCTTTGGCTTTCCTCAGTAAGTAATTTGTAGGCTAAAGATATAGGAAATCCCTTTAATGTATCTTCAAAAATTGAATAACATGCAAAAAAAGAAAAAAAACCTACCTCTCTTTTACTTCAAAGGAATAAAAGCTTCAAGCACCTGCCTGTCAAAGGATTCCTAAGGAAGCTGTTTACCCCAGAAGAGTAAATTGGGTGGTTACAGTATCTATTCCAAAGTCAAAACAGTCAGTCCTTATAGCACAGCTGAAACAGATGGCCTGCGTGTATCCTTCAACCATTCAGATATTTATTTTCAACTTATATCCCAGGAATTATTAATAAATGCAAATGAGTAACTTACCACAGATTCATGGGCTGGATACTAAATTGCACTTCCCGGACCAGCTGTGTCACAGAAAACAAAAGCAGGTGCCTAACTTGCCTTTTACACACAGGCTACATACCACGAGGTGATGCAACTTGTTTTCCTTTATTTTTGGAATGTAACTTTTAATTATGAGTAAACATGGGTTAGTGGAAGAAAATAGGCAACAAAGTTCCAGGCTCTGGTGTTACAAAGACTTTACAAACATCCATTAGTCTCCCAGATATAACAAATGGTGAGGAGCCAAGCTTCATCTCCACCTGAAGCTAAGCCTCTACAAGTCTAGTCTTTTCTTTTATTAAATGGGTGCTCAATGGTGCTCAATGCTGTGGAGAACAACAGGTATGATCCTATGTGAATGCAACTAGGTTTCCAATGTATTAAAACATATATTAGCATCACTGATACTATAGTTGTCATTTGATTTAGTAGATTCCATCTGAAGCACTTTGAGGAAGGTTTTAAGCTTGAACCTCAAAAGACAATTTAAATACCTAAAAAAAATCCAAATGAATAGCTACACCTTTTTTTTTTTTTTTTTTAAGCTAATGCTTCCAAAGCAACCTCAAAAGGTGCCTCCTTTCAGGCTAAGAGCTAAGAGCAAATGCAGCTCTTGCTGAAGAATGAGGGACCTGCACAAGGTGTATAAGCACAATAAGCACATTAAGCAGGAATCCCAGGAGCCCAGAACAAGTTTCCCTAAGCATTAAGACAGCTGGTGGTGTCAAACGGGACTCACGACCAGATCTACACTTAAGAAAACTTGAGACCTGAGGACCTAGGATCTGCATCTCTATGCATCCTGCATTGATGTGCCTGTATTTTCCAGGTTGGCCCATCAAGCCAGAAGGAAAAACCTAGCCTGTTACCTTGGATAACATCCAGATGGAGAAGCATGTCACAGTCAAAAGTCAACATTCTTGCAGCAATATTTGATTAAAATAAAAGGTGTACTTGAAGACCCACGGGAAAAGTTGCTTTCTGGTTTAGAATTATGCAAACATCAAAATATCAGCAGAAATCATTTACACAGTCACTAAGCACACCTTCAACATAAAATGAATCATCCTTCTGGCATTTTTTAAGCCCCCAGAGGAATATCTGCATGCCAAGTAAGTGTCCAAAAAATGCACACATATACTTAACCTGCATCTACAAAGAAGATGAGAAAAGGGCTGCTATTACCCTGAACATCAAAAGGGCTTCTAGTTACAGTAACTTCAGTTCACTTAAAGCTCCTTACCCAGGCCTTCTGCCTCCAATTCTGTGTGTCCCAATCACTGTCTCTTTAGGTTTTTCACCTGATCTCAAAAAAAAAATCAAAGGAGAAACTAAGCAAATTTTCTGGAGTATTTTGTGTTATTGGTAACAGTGATGCAACACTATCAAGATCTTGTTAACACGAAAGGCAATTCACCATGCAGCCCCCTAAAACACTTGGAACGCTCTTTTAACACGCTGGCCGAGGCTTTCAGGGCGACCCGAAATTACTAGCCTAACGAGTTCAATGGTTCATCTGCACCCCGCCCAGCAATTCTTGTCCTTTGAAACTAATAATGTTATACTAAAGACCAAATACTGTACTTGCATGAGAAGAAACTAACTTTTCAGGAAAAAAATTCCGGTTTTCATTCATTTCCTACAGACATTTTGCAAGAGCGAACGCGCCCTCAAGAGGGGTGTCCGCGCGTGGCCCCAGTGTTCCCTGTGCCCAGCAGCGTGCAACGAGGGCCACTAACCCGGCGCACTCGGCCCTGGAGACTGCGAAGTACAAGGCAGCGGGAAATCCGCCCTCCCCCCCCCCCCCGCCCCCGCCCCCGCCAGGGAAGCACTGCTTTCCGCAGAAGGAGAGCCATCGCACCCGGGCCCTGTTCCTCGATCCCCCAGCAGCTCACCCAGGCGCTGCGCCGCCGAGAGGAGGCCCCTCCGGCGATGCTTGGCTCCGGCTTCCCCTGGAGGGCAGCGGAGAATACTGAGGTCTCCGTCCCAACAACAGCTCCCCATCTCCGCCTAAGCATGAGCTCCGGATTGCGGGGCGCATGCATTCTCCTTCGTGAACATACCCCCGCCAGCCAAGTGTGCCCTGAAACCCGCAGCGCCCGCAACAGGTCCGGGGGCCATGGGGGAAACTTACAGCAGTGGCGACTGTCTTCAGTGCACAACTAGCTAAGTTCTCGCCTCGGTCACTGGGCGGGGAGGCGACGAAGCAGACGTCTCAGTCCTCGGGAGCAGTAGCGACTGCCCGGGCGAAAGGAGTGCGCATGAGGCGCCGGCCGTGGAGAGGACCGCGCCGCGGGTGCTGGATCGGGCCGGCTACCACGGGCGGCTCGCCTCGGCCTCACGATCCCCACACCGCAGACTCTGTCCGCGACTGGCGGAGAGTCTCCCGGAGCGAGTCTCGGGAGGGGACAGTGAGCCTGCGGCTACAGGCGCCGCAGAAGGAGGCGGGCTGTTTGCACACTCAGGGGAGGGAGCTAGAAAGCGCCTTGCGCGCCGGCGGCCGCCTGGCGTCTGGACTCGGTCTCCGCACCGCCACCGCCGCGCCGCCTCTCTGGCTGCCCGAGCAGTCTGCGCCCGGCCGCGGTGCGCCGGACTATAAGTGGGGCGGTGCGCGGGGAGGGAGGGGAAGAGGGAGGGTGCGTATGCGGAGAGTGACACCAGGAGAGGGAGGGAGGAAGCGCTAGGAGGCAGCCCGTGGAAGAGAAGAAGGAGAGAGCTGCAGAAGAGCGTGTGTCGGGGGAGTTAATCGAGAGAGGAAGCGGGGGAGGGGGCTGTGGAGAGTGGAGACAGACAAAGCGGACGCGCTATCTCGGCCATTAGTGAGCAGCTGCAATCCTTGGGGACCGCCAATGAAATAAGTTTTCCCAGGTCGGAGTGTCTGAGCCGCTCTGGCCCAGCCCGTTTAATGGACAGCCCCGGAGCCGAGGGACGCTTGGCAGGGGAGTGCGGCCCTGGGTTGTGCGTTTCGCTCTGCTGGAGCCCACGAGATACTCGAGAAAGGGGGGCGAGGAGCGCGCTGGGGGTCCTTGGCACCCGCCCTGGGCGCGCATAGCCTACGCAGGGTGGGACACCTGGAGGGAGACGGTGTTGAGAGAAGGGACATGAGTTTGGACGCTCTGGGGACACTGCAGGTTGGGCAAAGTCGCGCTGTAGAGTTTCTCGTTGGCAGGAGGGACACACAGACCTGAGCCCCAGGCGATCCCCGATGCCCGCCTGCCCTCGCTCCCTCCCCATGGTGGGTGTGGCAGCCACGGCCGGACTCTGCTCCACGCCGCCTGGAGCCGCAGCCCGCGCCGCTGCCCGGCGCTGTCCGGCTGGGCGCGCCCACGTGCTTTGCAGCCAATCGCTGAGGCCGCTTGATTCAAAGCGAACTGCTCAAAAGAGCCGCTACGCCGCCCCCTCTAGCTGGCGATAAAGCTTCCTTTGCCCTCTCAGAATGGACCCTTCCTGTCTTTTATCACGCAGTTGTGTGTGTTTGGAGTTCAGCAAAGAAATGGCCCGGCACACACAGGTCTGAAGCCCCGCGCGCCAGGAAAAAAGAAGGCGATTCGAAAAATAACCTCTCATGTCGATCACTATTTGCAAAACCCATTTTTGAGTTTTGTACCGTGGACTTGTCTTTCCACTGGGAGATAAAATCGTGTGTGTTCGTGTGTGTGTGTGTGTGTGTGTGTGTGTGTGTGTAAGGATTTGGAGTTAAATCTATGAACGCACTGTAGAGATAACCAGTCCACCCCACTAGTTTTACAGTAAGGTTAGGAAACGGAGGCCCGAGTAAATGTGAATTGTCCCACTCGAGATAACAGCCACTAAGCCCAGGCCCAGCCCTGCAGGGCTGGGATCCCCACGGCGTCTCCCAGCTTCCTTTCAAATGTTCCTCGCAGAAATGCCTTACACAGGCCGAGGAGGCTCAGCCTGGCGCCCCCAGAGTCCAGAGACTGCTGAAACCAAAACTGTCAGTTCTTCATTGTAATCCCACTTTTCTTTACCCGCGGTTTCTGCTGGTATTCGCGCTGAGAAACTTCGCTCCTCGCAAACAAAGAAAGACAGTGCCCTCTGAAGTCCTTTGTTAGCATTAAGTCGTCAGCCTCCCCGTGAGCCTTTACGAATCTGTTTCATATTTTACATTCCTACGCAGAGTCTCAGCTCGAGACTGCTTCACAAAGCCAGAGGCAGCAGGATCGGTTCACGGTAAGAACCGCGTGCAGCGATTGTGGAACGCGGCGCACAGACCCTGTTCCTGAAGGGTCTGTGGATAAAATCAGTGGAGACCAAAAGAGTAGAAACGCTGTAGACACCAGCGATCGGTGCTGAAAAAATGGGAGGTGGGAATGTGTAGCTATTGCGCATGTCTTTTAAAAGCATGCTTCTGTAGCCTGTGGCAAGGTTTGAGGGAGACTGATCAGGGTAGCCTCAAGGGGCCTGGTAAAAGTGCTTTTTTGTCTGTTTGTCTAGGTGGTAAGTCAAAAGCTACCAAAGAAGACATCAAATGTTAATGCCTTCTTTGGGGGGAAATATTCTGTTTAAATTAAGAGAGTAACGCTTTCTCTCAGAAAGAAGTATTTCCTTCTACTACAGTCACTTATCAAATCTACCAGAACTTCACCTAGATGACCCTGCCTAGGAATAAAACCTGAACACAGCTCACATGGTCCGGTTTAGATTTAGTCAGAGGAGCCCCCTGAGGTAGGAACAGGCAAGTCTGTGTTGCCTCTTCGCCACCTGGAAACTACAGTGTCCTTAACCAAGGGGACAGCAAAGTTTATTTCTCTTCGGAAATAGCTATGCTGAGAAGCAGGGACGCACCAATGCCATTTCCCATATTTGCCCTGCCTAATGCTGCTACCTTTCTACGCTCCAAGAGAAAAGAAGGAAAAAATGCTGTAGCCTGGAGAATCTTGAAATGTGTTCAATGGCCATATACATTTGCTTCATCTGCCTCAAGGAGAGATAATCAAAATGAAGCAGGGAAAAGAAATTAGAGTAAATAGGTCACAAAATCGAAAAATATTTTCCTGCTGAAAGACACAGGAACTGAACTTGCATTTGGGGACAAAACGTGTGCTGCCCATGACCTCCTACAAGCCGTGCACCGGTTTGCTCGAACCAGTGTGTGAAAAGTTCTCAGCCTGTGTGCAGTTGCTAATGTTTGTTTCACAGCTGAAAGTGATTTGCAATTTAGCATATTTATGATCACAGAAACACACACTGTGTTTTCTCCAACATTTCTCAGCTAATCCTAAAGGCAATTCTTGTCACTTCACCCAAAGGAAGAAAAAATGAGCAAGTCTTGTATCTGTGCAGGAAGAACCCCCTGGACAGCCTGTGATCAAACTGGACAACAATAGACATAGTAGATATCTGAGTCACAAACAACTCAGGAAATGCTACAGACATCCGTGTTATTCAATGGACACCACCTCACTCAAGCTGTTAGGCCAGTCCTGCATGCCCCTGGGAGCGGGTCTTTGGCTCTGCCTTGTGACACCAAACCAAGGCCTCATTTTTAATGCTATTAAGAAGCTGTGCCCACGACTTTGGCCTTGTTATCTCCCTTAGCAACATTATTTTGTTAGGCTGCAAAATAAGCAGCATGGGGTTAAATGTATTAGCTGCCTTCAAACCTAATTTATCTTCATTCCTTCCTAATTTACACTCGGGCTGAATTAATGAGAATGATTTAATTAACATGGTGTGACCATGGTACCAGGGACAGACAGTGGGCTAAGCAGCTGCCATCCTGCCTCCAGAGGTCCCCTGAAACCCCACCCAGATTGCAGACATGTTCCCTGCCAGTCTTCCAAAAGGGTCCTCTTTGTTCTTCCATCTACTTCCTGAATCTGTCCAAGGAAGATGCTCGGCCTTCCTTCCTTGCATTTTTTGTGAGGTGGGCTTCACGGCTGTGGCCTGTGGAGTCAGTGTGGCAGAGAGGCCAACGGCCCGCCAGAGGTCTGTGTTCTCCTCCCTCATGGTCGGGTTCATGCTGGAAAGTGGACACCCAACCAGAGGTGACATCCTCCTGGCTGCATATATGTACTGGGATCAACACCTGCGGAAGGAAAGGGAGGGAAGCAGGATGGGCAGAAGGAGGCGCAAAGCTGGGACCAGTCCCATTCATGTGGGAAGGACCCTTAGGGTTGTCTCCAGGGAAGGTGAGGCCAGGTTTCTTGGGCAGCATTACCAGCCTCCGAATGCAGGCTGCCCGGGAAAGGGGCAAGTCCTTGGAGACAGCAGCAGTCTTCCAGGGGCAGTTCTAAAGAGGGCAGACAGCTGTCTCCTCCTGCCAGCTCCCTGGAAGGTGGGGGAAGAAGCCTTTTGTTCTCACGGGGCACAGCTGTAGGGGCTAAATGAGGTACCCGCTTTGACACCTCACCCTAACACAGATGCACTAACCTGGGAACATGAGACCTCTGTTCCTATTGGCAATCCCCTAGCTTTCAAAAAGAGGGACACACACACACACACAGATAAGGAAAGGGTAAGGTAGTCAATACAAGGAGTTCTCAGCATTGTTTAAGTTATTTTTGTCTTTGAGACAAACAAGAAAGCTTAACTGATAGCTTTCCAAGTTCCAGTTGCCACCTTCTGCATTTATGCCCTTTTTACTGTACTTGAGTTAAACATCTGTTATGATAAACCTTGAGAGCATTCTTAAAACTGTACCCAAATTGGCTTGATCAGATTTAAAATTTTCAGTTACTTCCTACACTCATTATATGTACTTTATGAATTTAATTGGACTATGGTATGACTTTTAAATTTCAAATTTCAATTCTTCACTGCTGATAGAGTATACAATGGCCTTCTCCACTATGGCTTTTAATGGAATGTTTTGTGTGAAAGTGTATGTGTGTCCTTCCATTGCTAAGCACCTCTATTCAGGGTTGTTAGAGCTGGAAACGTCATTCTTCCTTTGAGACTCTGACACCTTATACAGCCCCAAGTGACACTGCAAGGGGTAGACAGCTTACTGGCTGCTTGCGGAACTGTAGAGGGACACACTTTGTCACTTTTCCTTGGTGACTATTTACTCTATAAAGCCCGGCCATTGGTAAATCAAACAGTTTAGGCTGCTTATGTTATCCCTACCTCAGAGCCCCTCGAGACAATGATCTTCTGCCTGTTGTAATTATAGATTTTAGAGTCAGGATTTTAAAGCAGCATGTATTACTTTCCCTCTGATTACAAAAGCAATGCATAGTGCAAATTTGTGATAAATAAAAATGTAAAAAAAAAAAAATTAACTATAAGCCCACTACTTGAAAGGACACTTAGCTTTTAAATTCTAGTCTCCGTGTCCACATAGTATTTTTATTTTTAGCATTTAAATGGTTAAGTGCAGAGTCTCTAGAACCAAGCCAGAATTCCCACTTTTACATTTACTAGCAGGGTGTTTGGGAGCAGGTATTGTAATATCTTAGTGCCTTAGTTTCCCAGTTTGTAATATGAGACAATGACAGTTCCAGGCTCAGAGGATTGCTTTGCATATTAAATAAACTAGAACACAGAGCAGTGCTCAGCTTGTGGTAAGTTCTGTATAATGTTTGCTTTTATGATTCTTTAA